CGATTTCGGCTGGGAAACTACTTATTTTTAACTTGCGCCCAATTACGGTGCGCTCCCGGACTTTGTCTATGCATTTAGCTCCATGGTCTATGAAGGTACGCAGGGCTGTGGTGGGGACATCTTATCAACCGAACGCGTCCCCGTACACACAGCACTGTACGCAGGGCTAGAAAAGAATTTGTTTGACAAATTTGTAAGACCTTCAATGTTCATGGGCCTAGGGGATCATTTTATGTTGTTAAGCAACCGGCACAAACAATGGAAAGAAATGCTATAGTATTGGTGGTATGTTCGATCAATATCGATTTTCTATTGTGTGAGCACACCTGAGTTAAAAACATGTAATATTCATCCAATTCATACCATCCCCTCCCCTGGTTAGAATCGAAACAGTCGATAAACATTGATAGCCAATCGTATTTTAGATTGCACACCCCGTGACGAAACTCTCTCCATATAAGGTGAAGTATAAACAAATTTGTTTGACCTCATTGGCAACTGCCAATCGAGTTTACGCCTTTATAAGAATCTGATAGCGAGTGTTAGTTGGCGTTCGCTGACCGAAAGGTAAGGTGTACATGTGTGTACCTTCGAAATTCTCACTTTTTACGCGTTACACACTCGTCTATATATCATTTGTGTTATCGTTTTGTAGGTAATTATTTATGTTTGTGAAGATACCGGGCAAATTCGCTGCATTAGTCGCGACGTACAAGCTGGTTTTATTGCAAACCGGCTTTACATGACGCGTCGACATGGCGTGTTTCGACTTGAGTGCAGGGCAGTGGTACTACAAGGTTGTAGCATTTTTCCTGTAGATTATGTAACATCGTCTTTGCATAAACATACATTTTCACTGATTTGAGAACAAACCGTTGCACACATCCGTATGAAACAATCTGCGCCATAAACAATGAATTATTCTATTTGCGAACTGTATTATTTGGCAAGTCATAAAATGTTCCCTGTCGTATTATGTAACATCCCATTGTTTTCTATTTAAACTATCCTATTGTAACATTAACTCAAGACTACCAGTCTTGACAACCAGAGTAGCAACAGTGTTACCGCATACTTTATTTTAATACTACAATATTGCATTTTGGATTGACCACGTGTACACGAGCATGGGTGGGTTGAAAAGGTCTTGCAAATGACCTCAAAATGTGAAATGGAGGTCATTTTGCCGGTTGTTGCATACCCCTCCCATTTAAGTTGATTTTATTCGATCTACACGTCATCACGGTATTCAATATTTGGACTTAAAACTGCCAGATTTCAGTTTTTGAAGCGAAATTTGATAGTTTATTGACGAACACGTAGTTATATTGCCCAGCGCAGTCATTGTTCACATAGCATTCAGCACGTAGTTCAGTGCTCTCCACGATAAAGTGTTCTAACTGACGTGTTGATCTAAAGGTCGACGCGGAATCGTGGAGGTACTGTTTTACAATCATGGTGGGGTCATGTAGAGAAATGGTTAAGCTTGATAGAATACATGATACTTTGTAGGGACTTTAATGACAAAAGCTCATTTCTTAAACGTATTTTTATTCACTTGTGTACAGTTTTTCTTAGTCACAGTATGCATGTTCAGCACATAATTGACTAGAGATTTTCATTTTTAATGACTTGTTCTCTCAAAGTTTGCATTTCAGGATAGCCTCAGTGGCATATTGATTCACTCTATCACATCAAAATGGCTTTTGCAAGTCGATTAATGAACAAGAAAGTAGCTGCAGCTGGTGCAGTGGGTCTTGGACTCTGTGCGGCTGCCTACTACAACACCCGGGAACCAGTTATGGCAAGTGGAGTTAGAGCACGACGTCTGTATCCACCATCTGCTGATTACCCAGACTTGAGTAAACACAACAACCACATGGCAAAAGTTCTAACCCCTGCAATCTATGCCAAACTACGCGACAAGACCACACCTAATGGTTTTACTGTGGATCAGTGTATGCAGACTGGTGTTGATAATCCAGGTCATCCTTTCATTATGACAGTTGGTTTAGTTGCTGGTGATGAAGAATGTTATGAGGTTAGTTTTTTTCACTGTATTCAACATTTTTCACTTATTTCTGCTTGAGATTAATTGTACTTAAAGTCACTGAATGTAGTAGTAGACTTGTATTTGACTGACCATGTTGTCAATCTATTTTGATACTTTGGCAATATGTACATTTAGGCACGTCTTTCAGTGTGTGCAGACAAGTGTTCTCTCTAGGATACAATCAATGTGGCGGTACTGCTACAGTGCTTTGATTTACCCCTGGACTTACATAAACATCTTGATTACCACAGTGCAATTTCCATCATGTTATAGGAGACTTAATAAAACAGACAAGTTGCTGAAAACTTGTGTGTAGTTGTAATACTTTGTTTTGTAAGTCAATATTTTTGTGCATTGTGTGATGGTGGTTATTAATCGCAATTTTTGTTTAGAATAAATGTGCTCCTGCCCCAGGTTTAAATTTCTAGGGAGAAAACTGCACATATTTTAGTGTGCAGACTAGACTAGTACATGTTGTTTGACTAAGTGAAGAAAGATATATTATGGCTCGTATACAAGCAGTAATATAGTTGATTTATCAATACATTTATTTACTATGAAATTCCTGATTCATGAAAACATCATAAATGTTCCTAGCCTAACTTTAAAATATTCTCAACGAAATTAAACCAGAATTTTTTTTTTTACGCATTTTTTTCCAGTCGAAATGCTGAATGTCAGAATTTCGTTGCCAGATAACTTGGTGTCTTGTGAACTGCCTGCTATTTTCTGGCCCCAAATCATTTATTGGTGCATCAATATTATATTTTATTTTATTTTATTTTATTTTATTGACCTTTTCACCATCAGTTTTTATAACAAATTCACAAAATGGTCCTGTTCATAGTCTCCACTTCCCTTCAGAAGATTGAGACAAAAAAAAAAACAATTTTTTTTAAGTAAAAACTACAAATTGCCTCAAAATATCTGTTGGCTCCAAAATTAGGGGGTTATTTCCAGAAATAATGAAGAGAAAATTGCAGACAAATTTGGAAGAGGAAGTATGGTGGTGAAAATGTTGAGTACAAAATAAATTTTTAAAGTGCAAAAATGTGTTTCAAACTTAATCTACAGCATTTTTTAATGCATTTTAAAACTGGCTACCTCATTAACCTTTTATTTGCATACTCAAATAACCTTTGTGACATATGTAGGGAACTTGCTGTCAGCGTGCATTGCTGCTAATGTATAGAAGGCACATTTCTTATCCAGTTTTCTAGTCTTTGACAAAATTGTCACTTGTGTACTTGCTTCTCGAGGAAGAGTGGACCATAACGAATGCGTATCAAGTTGATCGTATGGGGTAGAGTTAGATACGAAATCTATCCCTTCTGGCATGGCTGGTTGTCAAGATCAACTGTAGTGCAGAAACTTGTGTTGTGGTCGGTTGAAGTGTCAAAATCTATTGCCATGGAACTCTCCCCAATCTATTTTGATCCCCCCCCCCCCCAAGTTTGTCAAGTTGAGTTGACATCTGGCTTGTCTAGTTATTTGTCGGGTTACTGGGCATGTTCATACTGTATCAGTCCCTCCTCAGACTATGAGGGACTGTGACTGTATTTTGAAATGGGTGAACGCGCTTGATCAGAAAGTTTGTAAATGGTTGCGTTTGATTGGATAATAGAGGGCGAAACGACATCGAAAATAATGAGTGCCCACTTATTACGTAGATCAAATTGCAAGAAAAGAGCACAAAAGGTTTCTGGGACATTCAGACTTTCCAATTCTGGTTTCCTATGTATACAAAGCCAGGTGAGGGATAACAAGTATACTACTGGTGTCTGCCTTGGAATGTAATGAACTGTTGTCTGAAATCTTTGTTTCAATATCCTTTAGGTGTTTGCAGATTTATTTGATCCAGTAATTTCTGACCGCCATGGAGGCTATCCTAAAAATGCCAAGCACCCAACTGATCTTGATGCATCAAAAATTCGTGGTGGTATTTTTGATGAAAAGTACGTGTTATCTTCAAGATGTCGTACTGGACGTAGTATTCGTGGACTTAGTTTACCACCAATTTGTACGCGAGCTGAGAGAAGAGAAGTTGAGAGAGTAAGTCAACTTGTATGATTCGCTGTACGTTTATTCTTCCCTCGGCCAGAAACTGGTCCTCTCTGTGAATTTTATTATAGTTAATGTATTGTATTTTTCTTTGATTGTAGGTAGTTGTTGATGCATTGAATGGACTTTCAGGTCCATTGAAAGGAACATACTATCCCTTGAACAACATGACAGAAAAGGATCAGCAGAAATTAATTGATGATCATTTCTTGTTTGATAAACCAGTATCTCCATTACTGACCTGCGCTGGTATGGCGCGTGATTGGCCAGATGGTCGTGGTATCTGGTAAGGATTGCTAGCAATTTTACTTGACCCTTCAATGCAGATTAACGCATTTCCTTGAATTTGAGATTTTGTAGCGGTAAAATGCATGTACACGTCCCATGCTATGCATAGCAACATGCGTTTTTGGTAAAGCTCATTGTTTTATTTACACAATATTAAAATCAACATGACCATGGCAGTTATTTATACAGGATGCCTCAAAAAAATCTAATCGGATGTTTCTGAAAGTATTTGCGAGGTCCAATTCACTAACATAATTTAACCAAGCTGGAAAGATTACAAGTGGGCTAGGTTTATTCAAAGCGAACATGAATTGTTTTGGTTTTGAATAAGTTTTTATTAGGTTGTGAGTTCTCATTAGTTTTCCTTCCAACATTCAGGCACAATGAAGCTAAGAACTTCCTAGTTTGGATCAATGAGGAAGATCACACTCGTGTCATATCTATGGAAAAGGGAGGCAACATGAAGAGAGTCTTTGAACGCTTCTGTGATGGCCTAAGTCAAGTAAGTTTGACAGATGCAAGATGTACTAAATTAGAAAAAACAGTTTTGTAACATTAGGGCATCAGACCAGACCTAACCTGGGTTTATGTTCACATCCACCCTTTCCTTGATGGCGGGGGACAGCATCCTGTTCTATCTGCTTATTACAAGCAGACTATACCCATTTTCAATACTCTGTGTACACACAACCCCCTCCCAATTAACACAAACTACTCCAACTTGTAGTACAGTTATTAAAGATGACTGAGGATCTGTCATGGTTTTTTGAGATGTTTGGCGCACAATCTGATTAACGTTTAATAATCGTATGTGGTCTCCTTAAAAATGCACAACTATTATATCTGGAGGACTAATACCCATGCAGCTGTCCAACCAGTGCTTTTAATAAGCATGACCAGGAATCTTGTCTCTGGTGGCAGTTTTACAGGTGCAACATCTGATTCAAAGACCAGAGGATTTATTTCAATACTGTCTCATTTGCAGGTGGAACAGCTGATTCAAAAGAAAGGATGGGAATTCATGTGGAATGAGCATTTGGGATTTGTACTTACTTGCCCATCTAACCTTGGTACTGGACTTAGATGTGGAGTACATATTAAGCTACCAAATGTGTCAAAGGTGAGTTCCCCTCCCATAATTATAAATCTACTACCTGCGAGTGGTCAAATTTGCATGTGATTTTAAGCGTTCAGGGTGGTGACATTTAATTATATTATATAATAATTTTTTTATGTAATGGTACAAAACTCCAAACCTAATTTTGTGTAACCTAATTAAAATTGACAGACTCACTTAGTCCGAAACGTGGAATTGTTTTGGGTTGCCTCCATTGTAATAGACACCTGGACAGATTTTTTTCAAAGCTGGAACAGACAAAGCACATTTATTTTTGATTTGGTTGACCTTTGACCGACTGGCTGCCATTTTGTCCCCAAACATTTTGTTCGACATGCCAAGACTGATTTCATTCAAACTTGGCATTGACATCAGTCATAGTGGGTTACTGATGCACATCCTTTTTTGTGATTAGATTCAAAATGGCCATCTGGGGGCCA